CTCCCAAAGTGTTGGGATTACAGGCATCAGCTACCATGCCCAGCCAAGGAAATTACATTGCAACATGAGATTTGGAGGGGACAAAACTTCCAAACCATATTACATAGCATTGGATAATTTTCTGTTAATGTCTTCTGTCACCTTAAAAAGAAATTATAAGTATTGGCTGGGCAAAATGGACTTAAGTAAGGCTTTCCAATCTACATGAAATAATCAGAACATAGGGCCGGGTGCGGTGGCTCACGCCTGTAATCCCAGCACTTTGGGAGGCTGAGGCAGTTGGATCATCTGAGGTCAGGAGTTCAAGACCATCCTGGCCAACATGGTGAAACCTCGTCTACTAAAAATACAAAAATTAGCCGGGCATGGTGGTGTGCGCCTGTAGTCCCAGCTTTCAGGAAGTGGAGGCAGGAAAATTGCTTGAAGCTGGGAGGCAGAGGTTGCAGTGAGCCAAGATCATGCCACTACACTCCAGCCTGGGTGACAGAGTGAGACTCCATCTCAAAAAAAAAAAAAAAATTACAAGTATTATTCTGTATATATTGCTAGACCTTTAATTAAGTGAGCTTTGACATTGCAAGTTTTCTATCTAAGACCACACTAACATACAGACATAAAAAAATATACCCAGAATTGGGCTGGGCGCGGTGGCTTGCCTGAACACAGGAGATGGAAGTTGTAGTGAACCAAGATGGTGCCACTGCACTCCAGCCTGGGCAGCAGAGCTATTAAGTTTTTTTCTGAGTATGTGCTACCTTTACTTTTGGTGGTGGAACTATGCATTGGAACTGAAACTCTTGAGTTTTACTCCTAACCTATAACAATCTGGTGCTTCATAATCAAATTCCCATTTGGAAAATGAAATTGTCTTTCCATTTGGGAGACTTCTGTTTTTCCTCAAACTAATTTTATAACCTATCAATCTGTTAACTAACATTAACTTTGTAAATTTTATGCAGAATACTGTCTAGGTAATATAGAGAATAAAGGAAGTAGATAGGCGCTCTTGCTCCCTCCATAGAAGTAACGCTCTATGTGATGACCACTAATTAATAACCTGTATTCTCCTGGTGATCCTGGGAACCAAAGTGGTTTCATAATGAGGATTTTTTTTAAATTAAATTTAGGCTTGAGGGATGGTGTTTGTTCTTTGTTCATGTGAGACAGTGTCTTGCTTTGTGACCCAGGCTGGAGTACATGATCGAGGCTCACTGCAGCCTCAACATCCTAGACTCAAGCAATTCTCCCACCTCAGCCTCCCGAGTCACTGGAGCTACAGGCACGTGCCACCACACCCAGATAATTTTTTTAATTTTTGTAGAGTTGGGGTCTTACTATGTTGCCTGGGAGGTCTGGCTTTTTAATAAAGAATCTTAGTCGTGAATAGAATATTTCCTTTCAATCCATTATATAAATGAATTTTAAAGGTGACTTTTTTCTCCTCCTTTTTTTTTTTTAGTTTAATACAATTTTTTAGTAAAATGAAGAAGTGGATGGACATGTCAAATCTACCACAAGAATTTCGTGAACGTATAGAAAGGCTAGAGAGAAATTTTGAGGTGTCTACTGTAATATTCAAAAAATATGAGCCAATTTTTTTAGATATATTTCAAAATCCATATGAAGAACCACCAAAGTTACCACGAAGCCGGAAGCAGAGGTGAGCCCTTAATCCTTACGTAATTGACAAAAAGATTATGATACAAACTAAGAGAATGTACTTTTTTGAAAGTCTGTTTTTTATGAAAAGTATTCCTGCAAAGAGCTTAATTATTTTCTTTTTAAATCCATGTACAATTATCCATATTTGCAGAATAATACTTCTACTTATTTTTCTTTTTCTTTTTTTTTTTTTTTTTTGAGATGGAGTCTCGCTCTGCTGCCCAGGCTGGAGTGCAGTGTCGTGATCTCAGCTCACTGCAACCTCTGTCTCCCAGGTTCAAGCAATTCTCCTACCTCAGCCTCCTGAGTAGCTGGGATCACAGGTGTGCACCACCCTGTCTGGCTGATTTTTTGTATTTTTAGTAGAGAGGGGGTTTCACCGTGTTGGCCAAGATGGTCTCCAACTCATAACCTCAGGTGACCCACCCACCTCGACCTCCCAAAGTGCTGGGATTACAGACGTGAGCCACTGCACCTGGCCCTATGTTCTGATTATTTTATGTAGATTGTAAAGGCTTACTTAAGTCCATTTCATAAATAGTAGATAACTTTTCTTCATGAATGGAATTTCATGTGTAATTTGATCTATTTGATATTTATATTTACTATTTCAGTTTACATGATATTTAGCAAGCTAGTCAGACAAAAAGTTATTTTTTTCCCTTTTTAGGAGGATTCCTTGCAGTGTTAAGGATCTGTTTAATTTCTGTTGGACACTTTTTGTTTATACTAAGGGTAAGATGACACTTTCAGTGGTCTTACATTTCTACGGTGGGAACTTGGTGCTATTTGACATGAGAGGTTTCTGGTTTTTGTGTCTTTTTTTCCCCCCCTTATAAAGGTAATTTTCGGATGATTGGGGATGACTTAGTAAACTCTTATCATTTACTTCTGTGCTGCTTGGATCTGATTTTTGCCAATGCGATTATGTGCCCAAATAGACAAGACTTGCTAAATCCATCATTTAAAGGTAAGACCTTTTATTTATTTTTGAAAACTGATTATCAGTTTTTGGAAAAAGATTTTTGAAAGTTGACCATATTTTTTTTTTCCCTCTGCTCTTCCTACACTGTCAAACTAGGTTTACCGTCTGATTTTCATACTGCTGACTTTAGGGCCTCTGAAGAGCCGCCCTGCATCATTGCTGTACTGTGTGAACTGCATGATGGACTTCTAGTAGAAGCAAAAGGAATAAAGGAGCACTACTTTAAGCCATATATTTCAAAACTCTTTGACAGGAAGGTACTGTACTTGTAATTAGATGACTGAGATGTTTACAGGTCAGCAGTAATGTCAGAAGAAAAAAAAGTTTTAAGCAAGTTCTCAGCATTATAGAACTTAGGGTCAGGATTCCCAGGCTTTAGCCTCTACTGTGATTCGGAATTTCCTTATGATCTTGTGTGATGTGAGAAAGAGAGCTGTTGAAAAATGTGACCAACTATATGTTCTGTTAGGTAAACATACTGTCAGAGGCAACCGTAGTCCCAGCTATCAGGGACTGTGTAGGAGGTACTGATAAAGAATTGTAAAGAACAGAACATCGGAGTAAGGCTGACAAAGAATTAGGAAAAACAGGAAGTCAGAATAAGCTGACTAATTTACTGCCACAATTTGAATAACTGCTGACTGTTGACTAAAAGTAGGATGATGTATAACAACCACAGTTTTAATTCCATGTAAATCGAGCAGAAAATCCATGATAATTTTGTAGCCACTTGTAAGCTATCTGTGTGCATTCTGGACATTTTCTCCTTAGTAATTAACTTAGCTATTTCTACATTTATGAATTGGCTTGTTCCTCTGGATCTCAATTTCTTACTTCCCCAACATCAAGCCATTAAATGTAGTTAGGCCTCAAGATTTCTCTTTGGTAAAAGGAGGGGTTTGGATTACATATCCCACTTTTCAAATATTAAGAGATTTTTCTTTAAGCATAAAGTCTTCCCTTACTGGTTTCTTCTTCTTTTATGCAAACTTTTGTGTTCAGTCTTGTGTTCCTCAGATATCTATATTATGGCCCATTGTCTGTATGCTAAACATCTCTAGCAAAGTAAACTTTTTTTAAAGGATCCCAGGGACTGGGCGAGGTGGCTCACACCTGTAATGCCAACACCTTGGGAGGCCAAGGCAGGTGGATTGCTTGAGCCCAAGAGTTCCAGACGAGCCTGGGCAACATGGCAAAACCTCGTGTCTACAAACAATACAAAAATTAGTAGAGTGTGGTGGTGCACGCTTGTAGTCCCAGCTACTTGGCAGGCTGAGGCTGCAGTGAGCCATGATGGTACCACTGCACTCCAGGCCTGGTGACAGAACCAAACCCTGTCTCAAAAAAAAAAAAAATTTTTTTTTAATGTTATTTGCATGCTAAATAGTTTATCCTAGTCTGAAAGAAATATTCAATTATTCTGTTTTGTGTGTGTGTTATAACAATATGGAAATTTAGATAAATTTCATGTTTGTGTGTGTATTAATATGCTTAATTATATGGTGTCCCAAAATAATTTTTTCTTCACAGATATTAAAAGGAGAATGCCTCCTGGACCTTTCAAGTTTTACTGATAATAGGTAAATATCTGGTACTAGTGGTGCCTGGCATATCACAAGCTGTCATATTTGTTGATTTGTTGAAATTTGTTAAGCATAACATTATATCAAAGTAAGACCTCCAAATTCAAGTTCTCTCTCCTTTAGTGGCATTGAATGGGTATTGTCACTAAGACTTGTTGGCTTTAAATACATTTATTTTAAGAAATCAAGGTTGGGCACAGTGGCCCACACCTGTAATTCCAGCACTTTGGAAGGCCAAGGCAGGCAGATTGCTTGAGCTCAGAAAGTTGGAGACCAACCTGGGCAACATGGTGAAACCCTGTCTCTACAAAAACTACAAAAATCAGCCGGACGTAGTGGTGTGAGCCTGTAGTCCCAGCTACTTGGGAGGCTTAGGTGGGAGGATCGTTTGAATCTGGGAGGTTGAGGTTGCAATGAGCCGTGATTGCACCACTGCACTTCCGTCTGGGTGACAGAGTGAGACCCTATTTCCAAAAAAAAAAAAAAAGGAAAAAAGAAAGAGGCCGGGCATGGTGGCTTACGCCTATAATCCCAACACTTCGAGAGGCCAAGGCGGGCCGATCACTTGAGGTCAGGAGTTTGAGATCAGCCTGGCCAACATGGTGAAACCCCATCTTTACTAAAAATACAAAAATTAACTGAGTGTGGTGGCAGGTACCTGTAATTCCAGCTACTTGGGAGGCTGAGGCAGGAGAATTGCTTGAACCCAGGAGGCACAGGTTGCAGTGAGTCAAGATCATGCCACTGCACTCTGGCCTAGGCAACAGAGCGAGATTCCATCTCAGGGAAAAAAAAAAAAATTATTGACACTTATGTATTTATTTTTATTTTTATTTTTTTAGAGACAGGATCTCACTGTGTTGCCCAGGCTGATCTCGAATTCCTGGCCTCAAGCAATCCTCTCACCATAGCCTCCCAAAGTGCTAGGATTACAGGCATGACCCACCACAGCCAGTGAATTGACATTTAAAACAGCTACCCGGCCAGGCGCGCAGTGGCTCATGCCTCTAATCCTAGCACTTTGGGAGGCCGAGGCAGGCAAATCACGAGGTCAGGAGATTGAGATCATCTTGGCCAAAATGGTGAAACCCGGTCTGTACTAAAAATAGAAAAATTAGCTGGGCATGGTGGCACATGCCTGTAGTCCCAGCTACTTGGGAGGCTGAGGTAGGTGGATCGCTTGAACCCAAGAGGTGGAGGTTGCAGTGAGCTGAGATTGCACCACTGCACTCCAGCCTGGGCATCAGAGCAAGACTCATCTCAAATAAAAATAAAAATAAAAATAAAAATCAAGGCTGGGCACAGTGGCTCACACCTGTAATCCCAGCACTTTGGAAGGCCAAGGCAGGCAGATTGCTTGAGCTCAGAAGGTTGGAGACCAGCCTGGGGAACATGGTGAAACCCTGTCTTTACGAAAAATACACAAATCAGCTGGACGTAGTGGCGTGAGCCTGTAGTCCCAGCTACTTGGGAGGCTGAGGTGGAAGGATCATTTTAATCTGGGAGGTTGAGGTTGCAGTGAGCTATGATTGCACCACTGCACTTCAGCCTGGGTAACGGAGCGAGACCGTGTTTCCAAAAATAAACCAAGAAAAAAAGAAAGAGGCCGGGCATGGTGGCTCACGCCTGTAATCCCAACACTGGGAGGCCAGGGTGGGCTGATCACTTGAGGTCAGGAGTTTGAGACCAGCCTGGCCAACATGAAGAAACCCCATCTCTACTAAAAATACAAAAATTATCGGTTTTGGTGGCACCTGTAATCCCAGCTGCTTGGGAGACTGAGGCAGGAGAATCACTTGAATCCAAGAGGCAGAGGTTGCAGTGAGCTGAGATCACCATTGCACTCCTAGCCTAGGTGACAGAGCGAGATTCATCTCAAAAAAAATCATTGACACTTACGTATTTATTTTTATTTTTATTTTTATTTTTATTTTTTGAGGCAGAGTCTCGGCTCTGTGCCGTAGCTGGAGATGGTAGCGGATCTCAGCTCACCGCTCTCCCGGGTTACGCCATTCTCCTGCCTCAAGACTCCAGCTGGGACTGGCCGCCCGCCACCTCGCCCGGCCTGAATTTTTGTATTTTTGTAGAAGCGAGGGTTACCGAGGTTAGCAAGATGAATAACCCGATCTCCTGACCTGGCGATCAGCCGTCTCGGCCTCCCAAAGTGCTGGGATTACAGGCGACCACCACCTTGGCCTATTTTTATTTTTAGAGATGGGGATCTAACTGTTGCCCAGGCTGGCCTCGATTCCTGGCCTCAGCATAATCCTCTCACCATAGCCTCCCAAAATTAGGATTACAGGCAGCGACCACCACACCCAGCCAATTGGCATTCAAAACAGCTACTCGGCCAGGCGTGCGGTGCTCGCTTTCTCGTAATCGGCACTTTGGGGAGCTGAGGTGGGCGAATCACAAGGTCAGGAGATAGAGACTATCCTGGCCAATGTGGTGAAACCCCATCTCTACTAGAAGTACAAAAACTAGCCGGGCATGGTGGTGCAAGCCTGTAGTCCGAGACTATCCTGGCCAATGTGGTGAAACCCCATCTCTACTAGAAGTACAAAAACTAGCCGGGCATGGTGGTGCAAGCCTGTAGTCCCAGCTACTCAGGAGGCTAAGGCAGGAGAATTGCTTAAACCTGGGAGGTAGAGGCTGCAGTGAGCCAAGATCGCATCACTGCATTCCAGCCTGGGTGACAGAGTGAGACTCTGTCTTAAAAACAAACAAACAAACAAAAAACAGCTGTTCTCTTGAGAAACTAATAAATGGACCCAATGACTCTGTATTTCACTTTACATTCTTTCACTAATCACGTGTTGGCAGTACCCATATATTTTTTTTTTTTTTCTGAGACGGAATCTCGCTCTGTTGCCCAGGCTGGAGTGCAGTGACGCGATCTTGGCTCACTGCAAGCTCCACCTCCCAGGTTCAGGCCATTCTCTTACCTCACCCTCCTGAGTAGCTGGGACAACAGGCGCCTGCCACCACACCTGGCTAATTTTTTGTATTTTTAGTAGAGATGGGACTTCACCATGTTAGCCAGGATGGTCTCGATCTCCTGACCTCATGATCTGCCCACCTCGGCTTCCCAAAATGCTGGGATTACAGGCGTGAGCCACCACGCCTGGCCCTTTTGTTTTTTGAGACGGAGTCTTGCTCTGTTGCCAGGCTGGAGGGCAGTGGCGCAATCTTGGCTCACTGCAACCTCCAGCTGCCATATTTCAAAGCCACTATTGTTTCCTTAGTGATCAGAAACCATTTTCATAATTAGATTCAACTAGTTTTCAGATTAAGTATATGTAGTCTCTCACTTTTCAAAGTAATTTATTGGTTGTATGAATGTGAAGAATGTCCATAATCAGGTAGGACCCTCTGATATTGTTAGATGGGCAGAGTTAATAAAAATTAGAAAGTTGTCAGATTTTCTAAGCTGTAAACACTAAATCTATCTTCAAGTCAAAATAAATCCATTGTGTAACTTAGTATTACAGCTTATAATAATTCTCTTTGCAGCAAAGCAGTGAATAAGGAGTATGAAGAGTATGTTCTAACTGTTGGTGATTTTGATGAGAGGATCTTTTTGGGGGCAGACGCAGAAGAGGAAATTGGAACACCTCGAAAGTTCACTGGTGACACCCCATTAGGGAAACTGACCGCACAGGCTAATATGGAGTATAACCTTCAACAACACTTTGAAAAAGTAATATAACCTAGCCTGGCCTCAATCTTGAATGATCTTTTTCTCTGTGTGTCTGATTCTACTAACAGCAGAAGCATCTTTCAAGTTAAATCTTGAGTTTCTTCTACTAATTCATATTTCCCATGAAAGCTTTAAAAGGTAATTTTTAAAACTGGCATTTAGTATTTTTACCTTATTTCTTACTATTTTCATATTTTATATCCATTTTCCAGCATGCCTGGGTTTATTAGTAGAGTATATGTCTTTTGGCATGAAGAGGAAGTTTTCCTTTCTTACTGTTCTTTCTTTGCTTCAACTTAGCCTCTGTTACGTTGCTTTAAATTTTAGCTTGCTTTCCTACCCATGATACAAACTGTGTTTTTCTGTAACTTCAGCCATAAAACTCTGGACTTGATTGTTAATGGCCAAGGCTTAACCTGTATTTATGTGTAAAATGGGTTGGAGGAAGAGATCTAATGGAAAATTCACTTGTCTAGAACATAGTAAAACCTAAGTTTTAGTCCAAGCTTTGACATTAACTTAGTCAACTGAAACAAGTTTTTAAATTTCTCTGTTCCTGTTTCCTCATATATAAAATTAAAGTATGTATACATTATCTTTCAAATCAGTAGTGTGAAGATTAAATGAAATTATAGGTAGAAAGTGCTTTAAAAAAGTGTTTTTCAAATATAAGGATGTTATTAGCATAGTATTCTTAAACATTTCATGGATATTTTAAATATGAGTAGAGAAGATGGTAAATGCACTGAATTAAACACATAATAAGGAAGATGGTAACTTTTAAAAACTCACAGATTTTTCTTTTCTGACAGAAAAGGTCATTTGCACCTTCTACCCCTCTGACAGGACGCAGATATTTACGAGAAAAAGAAGCAGTCATTACTCCCGTTGCATCAGCCACCCAAAGTGTCAGCCGGTTACAGAGTATTGTGGCTGGTCTGAAAAATGCACCAAGTGACCAACTTACAAATATTTTTGAGTATGTATAATACTGTTATTTTTTCAAATGTCTTTTTAAAATTAGATTTCTTATTCCATTCTATTTTTAGTATATTCAGAATTCTCAAGATAGTGGATGTTCATCTGGCAAGTTTTACTATACCATTTCAATCACAAAATATATTGACCTAAAACCATATTGAAGTACCTATTAAAAATTATGTATAACAGTCAGGCACAGTGGCATACACCTGTAGTCCCAGCTACTTGGGAAGCTAGTTTGGCCAACATAGTAAGACTAATTCCAGCTTGGCCAAGATAGGGAGACCTTATCGCTCCCTTTTTTTTTTTTTTTTTTGAAACAGGGTCTTGCTGCCTCCCAGGCTGGAGTGCAGTGCCGCAATCACAGCTTACTGCAGCCTCCACCTCCTGGGCTGAAGCAACTCTCCCTCCCACCTCAGTCCCCCAAGTAGCTAGAACTATAGGTGCAAGCCACCATGCCTAATTTTTTATATTTTTTGTAGAGACAGGGTTTTGCCATGTTGCTTAGGCTGATCTTGAACTTCTGAGCTCAAGTGATCCAACTGCCTTGGCCTCCCAAAGTGCTGAGATTACAGGCATGAGCGACCATGCCAGGCCAACCTTGTCTCTTAAAAATAATTATATATAATGTTATTTCATGGGAGTATAGACTTTTAGAGATAAGTGTACCTTAAAGATTATTTAGCACTGATATTTCACTCTTTAACTACCCCCGAGTTATGCATGTTTTGATTTTACATTGACTTTATTTTTTAATTTATTTTTATGTTTGTTTCTAAAGATCACCTGTATAAGGGCATACATTAATTTTAAATGAGGACATTCTAAATGTCCATTAGATTCTAAATGTCCATTAGATAGGGGACTAATTGCATATTGGTGGTACAGCCATAAAAATGAAATTATTTATTTATTTATTTTTGAGACAGAGTTTTGCTCTTGTTGCCCAGGCTGGAGTGCGATGGCACAATCTCGGCTCACTGCAACCTCTGCCTAGTGGGTTCAAGCGATTCTTCTGCCTCAGCCTCCTGAATAGCTGGGATTACAGGCATGCGCCACCATGCCCGGCTAATTTTGTATTTTTAGTAGAGATGGGGTTTCTCCACGTTGGTCAGGCTGGTCTTGAACTCCCGACCTCAGGTGATCTGCCCTCCTGGGCCTCCCAAAGTGCTGGGATTATAGGCATGAGCCACCGTGCCCAGCCCATAAAATGGAATTTTATACAGGTTTTCTTTTTTTTTTTTTGAGATGGAGTCTCGCTCTGTCGCCCAGGCTGGAGTGCAGTGGCCGGATCTCAGCTCACTGCAAGCTCCACCTCCTGGGTTTACGCCATTCTCCTGCCTCAGCCTCGCGAGTAGCTGGGACTACAGGCGCCCGCCACCTCGCCCCGCTAGTTTTTTATATTTTTTTAGTAGAGACGGGGTTTCACCGTGTTAGCCAGGATGGTCTCGATCTCCTGACCTCGTGATCCGTCCGTCTCAGCCTCCCAAAGTGCTGGGATTACAGGCTTGAGCCACTGCGCCCAGCCTTTTTCTTTTTTGAGGAAGCATGATTCCTGGTAAAGATGGTAGAATGAAGCCAGATCAGAGAACCTTCTTTCCTAGTACCTAATAAAATAAGAGAATAGTAAAAACCAGTAAAATATTTATCAGTGGCAACCAAATGAGGAGAGAGAGATGATTTCATGACATAAATTTCCAAAGTAGAGATCAAAAAGAAAATTGATGATTCTGGCATCCCTATCCCTAAGCAGTGTTGGAGAAAGAGGGTATAGTGATGGATCTTGAGAATTCTCATCAATACTTCAGATTTGGAGAGAAACAAATGAGGGAGCAGGCAGACAGATAAAAAGTCATACAAATCTCCCCAAGTGAAAAGTTTATATGTACCACCACCAGGATCCCAGCAGAAATATAAACAACTGCCAAGGGCTGCCATTTTCCAACATTCCATGATGATATGGGGGAGAGATCCTCATATAACTAGACGTCCCTGACTAGGAATGGTGAACCCTGGAATGGGAGTATTTAACTAAATCTCAGAAGACAAAGCAAAACCCTAGTTCTCCAAGAAAAGCTGAACATAGCTGAGCTCTCCCCGCTTCCTCAAACGTTCAGGATACAAGAAAGTAGACGGAACAATCTCCAGCCTCAGAAATAGCTCAGAAGAAAAGCAAACTGCCGGTAAGGTAGGAAGACTGTCCTGGATCTATCTTCCATATCATTTGAGTAAATAGATCTGGATTGAACTACTGTTCAAACATGAGTAAGTTGAAAAGCAGTGACAAAGCAACTATACAAATATGTCAATAAGGGAAAGGAAGGAAGTACAGAATGCAAAAGAAAAAAGGTCTAGACACAAATGGCAACACTGGGTGTTGTGGCTCATGCCTGTAATTGCAGCACTTTGCGAGGCTGAGGCAAGAGGATCAGTTGAGCCCAGGAGTTTAAGACCAGCCTGAGCAACATGATGGGACCCTGTCTCTACAGAAAAAATTTAAAAATTAGTCATGGTGATATGCATTCCAGCTACTTGGGAGGCTGAGATGGGAGAGTCACTTGAGCTCAGCCATGATCACACCATTGTACTCTAACCTGGGCAACAGAGCGAGACCCTATCTCAAAAAAAAAAAAAAAAAAACATCTGTGTTTGTGGACTGGAAGGCTTAATATTGTTAAGATATCTATATTAGAGGCCAGGTGCAATGGCACATATCTGTAATCCCAGGACTTTGAGAGGCCAGGGTGGGTGTTTTGCTTGAGCTCAGGAGTTTGAGACTAGCCCGGGCAACACAGCAAGACCTCATCTTTACAAAAAACAAAATAAATAAAACTTAGCCATTGTGGCCATTGTTTGTTTGTTTTGAGACGTAGTCTTGCTCTGTCACCAGGCTGGAATGCAATGATGTGATCTCGGCTCACTGCAAACTCTGCCTCCCAGGTTCAAGCAGTTCTCCTGCCTCAGCCTCCAAGTAGCTGGGACTATAGGCGCCTGCCACTACGCCCAGCTAATTTTTGTATTTTTAGTAGAGATGGGGTTTCACCGTCTTGACCAGGATGTTCTCAATCTCCTGACCTCATGATCCTCCTGCCCTGGCCTCCCGAAGTGCTGGGATTATAGGCATAAGCCACCATGCCCAAAATTTTTTTTTTTTTTTTTTTGACAGAGTTTCGTTCTTATTGCCCAAGCTGGAGTGCAATGGCTCGATCTCAGCTCACTGCAACCTCCACCTCCCAGGTTCAATTGATTCTTCTGTCTCAGCCTCCCAAGTAGCTGGATGACAGGCATGCACCACTATGCCCGGCTAATTTTTTGTGTTTAGTAGAGATGGGGTTTTACCATGTTGGTCAGGCTGGTCTTGAACTGCTGACCTCAAGTAATCCACCACCTTGGCCTCCAAAAGTGCTGGGATTACAACAGGCGTTAGCCACCAGGCCTGGCCAGTTTTTGTATTTTTAGTAGAGACAGGGTTTCACCATGTTGGCCAGGCTGGTGTCCAACTCCTGGCCTCAAGTGATCTGCCCACCTTGGCCTCCCGAAGTGCTGGGAATATAGGTGTGAGCCACCATGCCCAGCCTCAAACCTGAAAGCTTTAACATAGCAAAGAAAACAATCAACAGAGTAAAAAAACAGCCTATAGAATGGGAAAAGTAATTGTAAACCATATATTAGATAAGGGGTTCATACTCAGAATATGTAAAGAACTCCTAAAACTCAAGAACAACAAATAACTCAATTTAAAAATGTATAAAGGATTGAGTAGATATTTCTCCAAAGAATATATGCAACTGGCCAAAAGCATATGAAAAAAATATCTGATATCACTTATCAGGGAGTTGCAAATCAAAATCACAATGAGATAGTACCTCACATATCAGCATAGCCACTTCCCACTCATCACCCCAAAAAACCCAAAATAGCAGGTGTTGGTAAGGATGTGGAGAAATAGGAACCCTTACACACTGTTAGTAGAATTGTAAAGTGGTGCAGCCACTATGGAAAACAGTACGGAGGTTCCTCAAAAAATTAAAAATAGAAGTACCATATGACTCAGCAATACCACTTCTGGGTGTACATCCAAAAGAATTAAAAACAGCATCTCAAAGGAATATTTGCACGTCATGTTCACTGCAGCATTATTCCCAATAACCAAGATGTGGAAACACCTTAAGTGTCCATTGATAGAGAAAGAAAATACTGTGTGTGTATTTGTGTGTGTGTGTGTGTATATATAGATACACATATAGATATAGATATGAGATGGAATATTATTCAGCCTTATAAAAGAAGGAAATCCTGCCAAGCTACAACATGGATGAACCTTTAGTACATTATGTTAAGTGAAGTTAGTCAATCACAAAAAGACAAAATACTGCATGATTCCACTCATATAAGGTACATAGTATGGTCAAACTTACAGCAGCAAAGTTATATTACGTGTGTATACAATCTGTATTTTTATTATGTAATTTACATGTTAAAATATGTTATCATATAAAGCTTTGTTTACATATGTAGATTTCCAACTGAGAATACAACTTTGGCTGCTAAAAACCAATTCTTGAAAGAAGGCATGTTGGCCGGGCATGGTGGCTCACACCTATTACCCCAGCATTTTGGGAGGCTGAGGTGGGTGGATCACAAGGTCAGGAGATCTAGACCAGCCTGGGCAACATGGTGAAACCCATCTCTACTAAAACTACAAAAATTAGCCAGGTGTGGTGGCGCGCGCCTGTAATCCCAGCTACTTGGGAGGTTGAGACGGGAGAATCGCTTAAACCTGGGAGGCAGAGGTTACAGTGAGCTGAGATCGCATCACTGCACTCCAGCCTGGGCAACAGAGTGAGACCCCGTCTCAAAAAAACAAAAGAAGGCATGTTAATACTCTGGTGTAGAGTTGTTTTTTTGTTTGTTTGTTTGTTTTTATAATTAGGATCCTCTTGTATTTTGTAGATCTTGTGTGCGTAATCCTATGGAAAACATTATGAAAATACTAAAAGGAATGGGAGAGACTTTCTGCCAACATTATACTCAATCAACAGATGAACAGCCAGGATCTCACATAGGTAAGAAAAGAAAACTAAAGTTGGCATAGCATTGAAAATAAGTAATCCCCCCAAAATTAGAAATTCAAGTTTTTTCCTCTCCCGTTATTCTTATTTCTTTCTTTTTTTTTTTTTTTGAGACTGAGTTGCCCAGGCTGGAGTACAGTGACACGATCTCCACTCACTGCAACCTCCTCCTCCCAGGTTCAAGCAATTCTCCTGCCTCAGCCTACCAAGTAGCTGCTATTACAGGCACCCACCACCACACCAGCTAATTTTGTATTTTTAGTAGAGACAGAGTTTCACCGTGTTGGTCAGGCTGGTCTCAGACTCCAGACCTCAGGTGATCTGCTCTCCTAGGCCTCCCAGAGTGCTAGGATTACAGGTGTGAGCCACCACTCCCGGGCTACCCTGCTATTCTTAATGTATCAGATTTAAGTTTGTGTATAATTTTTGCTTTTCAGTCCTTAACAACTAAAATTCATTAACACATGTTTTCTCTGTATTTCCCCAATAGACTTTGCTGTAAACAGACTAAAGCTGGCAGAAATTTTGTATTATAAAATACTAGAGACCGTAATGGTTCAGGAAACACGAAGACTTCATGGAATGGACATGTCAGTAAGTAAATCCACTCTCTGCGCTACTGGCAAGGTCCAAAAGTCGTAGCCTGGAAGCGGTGTTTTGAGAGGCTCTGTAAGGCATTGTGGGGGTCACCAATCTAGGACACACTTGGCCAGGATGACATTTAGTTGACTTTAGCACATGCAAGGCTAATCACATCTAGGCAGAAATGTGAAATAACATAAAGTTCATCTTTGGTACACATCAGTGTGTTTTAAGTTTTTTGTTTTTTGTTTTTGTCCTTCATTCCCAGCTAGTGATCCCTCCATCTGTTAAAACAACTGTTAGTTAAGACATTTGTCCATACCTTCCAAGGATTTTGGATTATAAAATGGTTGGGGGAGGCGGGGCGGTTTGTTTTGGTTCTTTAACTATTTGACCAAGTCAGACCACTCTCTCCAATAAGCTGTATAAAAGAATTTTTCTACAAATTCAAACCTATCATATGATCTTTGTTTCCTCTTCCTTCATTATTTCCCTCTGCAGTCACTCTTGGAGTCTTCTAACTTTCTATCCCAATAGGAACAGGTTGATGTCTTAAGGATGCTGCGTAACTATTGTAATAGAATTTCTCTTTGTGTTTACCTGGAAATTTTTTTCATATATTTTCTGTGTTGGTTTCTCTTTTTCCTGGATTCTGTATCTTTCTCTTTCATAGTTTACACTAATAATCTTGATGGTGCATACACTCCTATGGCTTTCTGAGAAATAAGTAAATATACATATATATATATATATATTTTTTAGACTGAGTCTTGCTCTGTCACCTAGACTGGAGTGCAGTGGCACGATCTTGGCTCACTGCAACCTCCATCTCCTGGGTTCAAGCGATTCTCATGCCTCAGCCTCCCGAGTAGCTGGGGTTACAGGTGCCCACCACCACACCTGGCTAATTTTTGTATTTTTAGTAAAGACAGGGCTTCACCATGTTGGCCAGGCTGGTCTTGAACTCCTGACCTCAAGTGATCTGCCCGCCTCAGCCTCCCAAAGTGCTAGGATTACAGCCACCTCACCTAGCTGAAAGAAGTAAATTTTTTTAACTTTATTTATTTTAATTTTTTAATATTTATATATTTATTTATTTATTTATTTATTTATTTATTTATTTATTTAGATATGTAGTCTTGCTCTGTCGCCCAGGCTGGAGTGCAGTAGCACAATCTCAGCTCACTGTAACCTCCGCCGCGTGAGTTCAAGCAATTCTGTGCCACAGCCTCCCGATTAGCTGGAATCCCAAGATTCCAGGCAAGATTACAGGCACTCGCCACCACACTCGGCTAATTTTTTTGTATTTGTAGTAGAGACAGGGTTTCACCGTCTTGGCCAGGCTGGTCTTGAACTCCTGACCTCATGATCCACCTGCCTCAGCCTCCCAAAGTGCTGGGATTACAGGTGTGAGCCACTGCACCCGGCCAACTTTTTATTTTGAAATAATTCCAGATTCACAGAAAGTTGCAAAAGTAGTACAGAGAAGTCCCACACATCCTATATCCAGTTTCCCCAGTGGTTACAGTTTTATATGCTGCAGTATCAGAACTGGGGAATTGACATTAAAACAGTGTGTATGTGTGTGTGTGTATAAA